TGTAGAGTGTAAGCCCAGCCCTGACCTGCAGCAGGATGTGCAAGCCAGGTGTGGCGTTCTGCTTCCCAAGATTTACACACTTCACTCAAATAAGCCGGACACACGTGTAAATTTCTGAAGGTTTCTCTGGTGTGAGAAACCAAAAGGGTAAAGAAGGACCAACATGTGTAAAAGCTATCGGGAAATAGGAAGAAAATGTGTGAATCAAAGGGGAACTGAGGACAAGGGAGAGAGGAAAGAAGGACAGCAAAAAGAGAAAGCAAGGAGAAAATACAAACAAAGCTTTGTAAATAAGGAGGGCAAGAGGTTGAAGGGAAGGTAGTGAATGGGGAAAAAGAATCTTGTTCTGTCCTGTACAGGTACAAATGCCCTTTGATGGATGTGACCATTATGGATATCTAAAATGGGACAATGAAATTAATTTTGAAATAATAACAGTAAAAGACTGGGTTTTCTGAGTGGTGAGCAGCTTTCAGAGTCCAGGTGGAAAGGGGGGACGGTCAGGGAGCAGAGGAGGGCAGCTGGGGACAGGAAATCCCGGCAGGAGAAGAACAAGAAGGCCCTGGGTTGGAGGAGGTTTGAAGGACAGAAATGAGGAGATGTGATTTCTGGGCACTGAGTGAGAGGACCGCTGATGGATGCTCCGTGGAGAGGACAGGTGGTGGGGGCTGGGATGGAGACCCAGGAGGGAAGGGGAGGTTGGGATCTGTCCATCAAGGGCTCTGTGCAGATGCTGAGTGGCTACGGTTGGTGGCAAATCCTCCACAGGATAAAGAACACAGAGGCTCATGGGGGCCTTTCTGACTGCGTGAAATGACCAACGACCAAGGTCAGACGTCTGAAAATGCCTGGACCTCCCAAAGCTCCTCCACAGATGTCAGCCTGCACCCTCCCCTCCCTGCTCCACCCCTGCCAAGTCTTCCCTGGGTTTCTGCCTCCTCCTGTCCATACTTGGTCCTTCTCAGTTACCTACAGTTCCCAGAATGCACCTGGAAAGCCATCTCACCCTCTGTGCTCTGTCCTGCTGCTCCCCAGGCCTGGAGCAGCTTCTCTGCTTGACCTTGTGAAGCCCCAGTGGAATGGAAAAGCTAAGGCCCTCAGAGCTCAGCCCCATCCACCAAGGAGGAGGGCAACGTCCCTTCCTGCATGACCTCATAGCATCAGGACCATGAATCCACCTTGGGAATCCCTCCATGAATGTCTTCCTGTGTTCCCCATTGTCTTGGTGGCCATAAAGACACCCCCGGGGTCCCAGCATCATCTCAGAAGGGTGCAGGTGACACAGAGACCCAGGAAGTCATCTAGAACGAGGAAACTGGGAGAGACCCTTTCACTTTCCTGTCACCAGCAGCTGGTGATGCCCTTGCTGTCACCCACACACACAGACAGGGACCGCTGTGGAGTGGGCACTGCTGGGTGACAGAGGCAGCAGCTGAGAGGTGCATCACCTTTCGCACTGGACTCCAGCATTGTCCGCAGATCACACAGCACTTCTGTGACATGGCAGTGATCTCTCTTCCCAAAATGACCTACTGCTACCTGCCACAAACGGTGGTAAGGATACTGATGCTCAGGGTCTGAAATCAGCAGGGGTGGATTAGACAGGACAAGGGATGCAGGGCACAACACTAACAACAGTGACAGTCACAGCACACAGAGCACAGCTGAGAGGCCCCCCGAGAGGCTTCCCATAACACGAAGTAACGTGACTCACGTGTGACAGAGAGCTGGAGGGGGTCGCTGGGCAGGGACCATTGCTGGGGGCTGTGATTAGCATAGCCATAGCAGATGTAGGTCCCGGCCTGATCCAGGCTCATGGGGGCGATGAGGAAGGAGCTGTGGTCCTGATGAGAACAGTCCTGGGGGAAGGAAGCTCCTCCTCCCCTGCACAGGACGTAGGTGTCATAGGAGTAGAGTGGCTGACACCGGAGAGTCACGGTTCC